ACACTTATGCCCGAACTGGCCTTGATGGCCATCGAGGTACACCCCAAGCTACACTACCCCATGGCACTGCAAACAAGAATGCGCGCACAAACAAAACGGATCGAAAAAAAGAAAACATGCATACAGTATATGCCACAACGGACCTGCACATGCCCGCCCTCATGGCCAAAGCACATCCTTCTCGGCGCGTCCGTGGGCTTCCGGAAGCGCAGCGCCGCCAGCTCCTCGCGTAAGGACCCGGAGATCCTGGCGGCACGATGCGCACGATGCACTGCGTGTGCTGCGTTTTGGACCAAAAAGGCACCAAAAGCCCATAGTACTCCATCTCCAAAGGGATGCTGTAAAGTTTCCGAGGAGGGTTTCTGGGTGGATCTCCTTTTGGAATCGAATGCTGTGAGTTGTAATCGGAATCAGGTACAATGATCACTTGAAGGTGATAGTGATTGTCTCTTCAACAAGCATTGTCCTCCTATTCCCATGTGCTTGTCATGACCTTCCAATTCAAAAGACACACACGGAGCAAATTCGCGCCTCTGTCCATGCAGCAGGTAGTGAGTACACATTGCATTCCCAGAGAGTCTCCCCAAGAAGCAGGGGGACTCGCGATCGAAGTCCAACCCCTCAGAGAGCTGCTCAACAAGTGCTGTCGAAGAATTTCCCGTCAAAATACGTTTGATGGATTTGGAACGAAACCATATGGCTATCGCTCTTAGGTGGGAGGCCATGCTAGTAGGCTCGTGTCGGAGCAATGGACTGCAGGGAAGCTTCTTTCTTTTGCGCTCAGCAAATAAATTGTTCGCTCACACTTGACTCTTCATGGCCAACTCCAAAAGTGCATTCTTCCGCTACCCCCTCCCCCCCAATCTACAACGCATTCGCGATCCACATATTCAGCTATTGAGAAGCGATCAAGCTCTCCCAAAGTCGAGGCGCATTGGAAGAGAGCACATAATAGGGCCCCAGTTTGAGCTGCGTCTGTCTCTCCGCCGCGATCAGGAGCACCTGCGAACGCTTCGATGGATCCATCGAGCCCGACCAGGGGCCGGCGAATGCAGGGCACAAATAAAGGCAGCTCGCAGGATGGTTTGTAGTATCCTCCCACTTCCGCACTGTGACTGTGTGCACACCTCACACAGGCACCAAGTGTCCAGTGATCAAAAAAGTGAGTACGAAGCGAAACGAAGGTAAGTAGGCATTCGTTGTTTTCACTTGGGTCACCCACTTGTAGCTCAAGTCTGCCACCCACACAGCCACACATCTCCCGTCATCTCACCCTGAGAAGCAAAATGCACCTGACAGCTCCACTGCTCCGACCCCGGCCTCCTCAGCGCAGGGCGGCGTCACGTAGAGCCCATAGCGGGGCCGCTTGAGGCCGCCGGCAGCGCGAAGGACCTGGCGTGGATGGTCACTCTGGCGAACGTGCGGATTGTCATGGCTGAGTGGCTGATGGATTCTGATTGCTACGTCAATGAGAGGAAGCAGAAGAACTTACTTCAAGTGCACCACCCCCTGCCCCCCTCCTGCACTCTGCCCTGCAGAGTGCCATGGCCCAAGCGTTGGGACGCAAAGTGGTGCCGCGACATCAAGGTGCTCAGTGCAGGCAAAAGCCTCGAGGCATTTTCGGGAGATGATCAATGCTTGATTGCTTGTTATGCGGCCCAGTACGAGGGATAGGCGGTCATAATGTTCAGGCTTTGCCGAAAAGAAAGCAAAAAGAAAGGTCTAAAGGTCTAAAGAAAGAAAGAAACCTAGAAGGGCAGAAAGAAAAACAAACAGGAACTTGGTGAGCAAGCATCCGGAGGCAAACCAATCTGAGCGATTTCGTCAGCTAGCGGGTGGGCGGAGGCGGACCTTTACCTCCTCCAGTTCCCCTTCCTTCCCTGGGAGGTGAAAGGTACCTGTACAACTGAAGGTATGTTCCCTACCTAGGTACCAGGTGCATTTTACCTTAAAAGGTACTTAGGAATGTTCCCCTCCCTTCCCTATCATGCAGCATCTACCCTTTCACCTCCTCAAAAATTGTGTCCTCTTCCTTTGCCTGAATGTCTTACTTTTTGTGTGACTATATCACTACTACTGCCAGTTCTTGTCTTTGGCTATGCCAATGTTCCTCCTTCTCAGCTCGCATTCTTCTAAATGATGCAGGCGATGCCACCCGGAAAGCCTTGCGCCACCAGCATCACCACCCTGATCCATTCCACGCCCAAACTCACCAAACTCCCCAAAGATCACCTCGTACAAGTTGAGCCTTGCCTAGTTTTCGTCTGGGAAATTTGACGGTGGAGAACCACTCCAACCTAGTAGCTTCTTGTTACTAACAGTAATGGCTTCCAACCTACTAGCAGTAATAGCCTCCAACCTACAGTAGCTTCTTGTCAGGCCCAACTTTCCAACCCCGAACTGGTCCCTTCGAGCAACAAGACTTTGTCGAAGAACTCGCTGTTCCTCCGCCTTCGGGCCTGTGGGGAAACATGGGTCATCACACAACTCACGGACCTTTTTGCTTCAATAGGCAATGGTATGAGCACTCCTCTCAATCACGCCAAAAAAACTGTAGGGCCCACTCCCCACCACATGGCCGCTCCACCGCCCGGCGGATCCGTCCTTTCTCTTGGCTGCAGGGTCTTGCTCCTCTGACTCCTGTCACTGTAATTGTTTCTACTAGCAAACATTGTTACTACTAGTAAGGCACCTGTTACTAGAAGCGATGCAGTTGTTACTAGAAGCTTATTGTTTCTACTAGCTATGCTGAAGAGCTCGACAATTGACAAGATGCAAAGTCCAGATGCCTTCATAGCTCTGTTGCTCTGTTCATGCTCACAGGCAGCGCCTTCGCTGCCTCCACGCTGGGGTTCGAATTCGTCGGCTCCACTTGTGGAGAGCTTGGCGCAATGGCCTCTTCATCCACATCCTCAGGTGGGAGGAGTTACAAGGCTGGCTCCAAAAAAAGACACTTCACCATCCTTTTCGATCGCTTGCAACGAATGCCTCATAGTTGGGCCTTTCCTCACCTTTCTCAGCCAAGCAACTGTCATGTGCCAGGAGGTGATGGAGCTCGTCCTGAGCAAAAAGAGAAGGGAACACCAAATCCCCAGCTAACACAGGATGGCCTAGGCCCAAGGAAGCAGCCGATCCCAAATTCATCGACTGACTTCCCGAGTCAACGACAGACTTCGGCCGTCGATCCGATCGGCCGCTCCACCGACGCTCCTCGGTCGGTCAAAGGCAAGTCCAGGCACCTGATCCTCAGTCCTGGCATTTCCCGCGGAGAGGTCGCGCGGGCAATGAATGAATAAACGGGGCATTTGTCACAGTTGAAACAGATCGAAAGAATGCTGTGTGGCCGTTGGTGGTGATTCCTTCCATGAGGCTTTCATACGCCAATTGTTTTTACAAGAATGCAACTTGAAAAGCTCTTCAATGGGGCAAGTTGATCTGCGTGTGTAGCTCAGAATAGAGGTCGTTCCTTTCAAATGAACGCTCAATTACCAAGGTTGTGGCTTCAAACGCTCTTGCAGACTTGAATCTAGCTTCCTATTGACTACTCAAGGATCTCGTCCTAGGATCATAGGTCTTGGCGCTACTGTCCTTTACGAGCGAGAATACTGAACGGCTTTGACCTACCAACTAAAAACCTGGAAACGATGCCGCTTTGGACGTGACACCGGTTTTGGAGGTCCTCGGGTAGCCATGGCTTGGGCCATCCACCACTTGCCAGGCCTATGGATTTGGCAGAGATTGACCACACTTGAAGTCACAACACGGTCCATCCACATAGATGTCACAACCATCTCTGCCCCCCAGAGACTCCAGAGGAATCTAAACACAGCAAACACGAACATGTTTCGATTCTTTATCTGAACTGCATAGCGTCAAACTTGAGTGATAGCATTTACCTGCCTTTGGAGGGACAAAGGATCATTTCGGACAGATGTCGTTTCAGGAACCCCAAAAAATACATCCTCACCCCCTTCAGATTCACCTTAGGGAAGCTATTCTGGGTTCGCCTGGGCCTTGCCACCGATCGTCTCCACCTGATGGGCACAGGTAAAAAACACAGCACAAACCGTTTCGGCAAGGTTTGACCACAAGTGGTCCGTCCCACTTTTGCAAATCTGAAGACAAAAGCGAACCACCAAAAAAGGTGATGCACCTTTGCACCAACATCACGAATTCCAACTCTTGTTTGCTTTTGGAGGCCATCGCTATTGGGTTGGAGGTCATCGCTATTAAGTAGGAGGCCATTGCTATTGGGTTGGATGCCATCGCTGTTTGGTTGGAGTCCAAGGTCGTATCGTTTTCTTGCCCCACCTCCACAATCTCAAGGTCCTCTATGTCTCCTCTGCCTGCAGCCCTCAGGTCCAAGTCCTTTGCGTGTCTGGAGCATGGCCGTGGCAATTAAACCCCCTTTACCAAATGTTCTCCCACCTACAAACGACGCTCTTTCAACGGAAAATTGTGTACATGCGCGCGACAAATAAACGTCCGCACTATGCTTTGGCATGCCACTCGCTCTTGATAGCGTGTACTCTTGGAATTTCAATCTGCCAGCTCTACAAATGACCATCTTCGTGCATCAAAGGTACCTCCCCTGCCATCATGGCGGGACAAGTGGAAGGAGAACAACAACAAACAGTTTCACTGGTGCATACATTCTTTTGAGTGAAGTGGAAGTAAAGCCACCACTCACACAAATGAACTGTGTGTGGCCGCAAAAACACAAAGCACGACCAAAAACACACTGTGTGTGATCGTTTTCGCAAGTGTCACGAGCTTTCACAGAGCCGAAATGTTGACATGGCACGGTGAGGCAGCAGAAAGAAAAATCGAGATGAAGTCAATGGATGTCAATGATACTTTCCCTATCCGTGCTGTCTTGAACCGTGTCTGTGTCAAGTTGCTGCAGATCACACCTGGACCTAGCGCCTCTGGCCGGGATTGCTTCCTGTCAACATGGCAACCTATAAAATCGAAAGAAGCAGGCAGTCAGGCGCAGCATTTTCGCACACGTGCACTATCAAAGTCCCAGATTGAAGAACCTGGGTGTGGCTAATGCATCTGGTTTTGCTCAACAGTCGTCCAAGAATGATACCTGCCGAGCATGGCCTTGCAAATCGACCAAAGGCCGTATGGTGCCCTTTGGAGGCTTCACCTTCTCATGCATGACCCGCAAGCCATCCAGGAAGACTTGAAAAGACGATTCCTCAGACTCTGAGTGGCTCCACACAGCTCGAATCTTGCTGCTCTCTTTCATGTCCTGAAAGATGCGGGCACCGGGCTTGGGAGTGACATGATGACCAACTCCATCTTGATAGCAATGGGATCCTGATAGTGGCCAACAACATGCCATGCGTCCCAGGTGCAAATCACTCTATGCCGCATATGCCTATGAAAAGATATAGATTTTTGTGGTAATCCTAGAATTTGCGCAAATCAAAATCAAACTCTGAACTCTAGAGGAGAATCCACGGCTCTCATACCCACCAATGACGCAGCCAGCGCAGGTCTTGGCCTCCTCTTGCCGAGCGACGTAGGCTGGCTCATCTCCGTTGTAGAAGCCAACCGCAAGCACTCGTCCGGTAGCAGTTGGGTCAAAAGCATCCACGGAAATGGTAAATTCATAGCCATTCTTGCCCATCTGCATTGGCCGGCCCAAGCAAACTCCATGCATTGCCTCCTTCACTCTTCTAGCAGACTGGCCCTGACTACAAACTTCAACCGCTTCGCCCATGGTGTCTTTGTCAAACTCTTGCGCTGGGTGGAATACAAAAGCACCTTCCTGGCAAACCATGTTCCCATTCTTCGATCTGACTTCCACTTTCGCTGGGCCCTCAGGGAACCGTAGTGGGAGAATAAAGGCAGCCGTCGTTGTTGTCGACGGTGCGACATCACACAGCTGACAAGGCCTGCCGCCAATTGAAAGCTCTGATATGGGTGCCACCATGTCTGTTGTGGTGCACACGACCTTGAAGCCACCTCTTGTGGGTCCCCTAGATGGCTCAATGCTGCAAATTTCACCGGGAAAGTGCGTGGTGAAGGCTCCACTGTAAGCAGTCATGGGCAAAGATCTCTTCCACTGAATCTCCACGTCAAACTGGCCACAATGGGAGGGCAACTTTGGCGATCGCAAAGAGCCATTCCCCTGGGAAGCACAAGGCTTTCCATCGATCAACACGCAAAAGGGCTCTTCGTCACCCTCCCATTGCAAATCGATGGCATGGTCACATGGACCACAAAGTGGCGAGATCGGCGGATCTTCCTCGCCACCCTGCTCAGAGCAGCTGGTGCACGTAGGCTCTCCAAGGTCTGTATCCTCTGTGGAACTGCTATCGTTGCACACCAAGCCACACTCCTTTCGAACAGCTTTGACATAGTTCAAGATCTCTGAGCACCGCTTGCACTTTGCCAGCAATTCAGTCTTGCGACTGCTAGCCGCTTCGCAATCCAACTCATAGCGATCATGATTCTCACTGATGATTGTCAGCAGCTCATTACACCGGTGATGGATGTGATCCTTGGCATGCTTCAGCTCGTATGAGATGACTTGCTTGATCCCAGACATGATCAGTTTGTGCATCTCTTCCCGGGCCAGGCCAATGTGCTGTTTCCACAACTTTTTGAGAGAAGACCCCTTCACCGAATGCGAGTCAACGACTTTGGCGATGTAAGGGATTTGTTTGTCATACGTCCCCCACCGGAAGAGGCCCAAAAAGTACCAAGGCGCTTTTTCTATCCGAGATCTTTGGACCTTCGTCGTGTTTTCATTGAAGAGTGACTCATGCCTGGCTCCCATTTTCAAGAGTTCCTCAACATTGGTGTCCGCAACATGTTGGAAGCGAAAGCTCTCTGTCTTCATGTTCAAATCCAGCATGCTGCCAGCCTCCTTCAACATGAATTCAAGCACAGGCCGAGCAGCCCTTCGCACATCATCTTGCAATTTCCCACTAGCCTCGTTCAATTCAATCGCCATTCCCTTGCACTCATACTGACAAAATTGATGCAGCATGCTCTGCAGCTTTGTATTCTGACTCTGGACAAACCTTTCCGCCTCCTCGCGGCTCTTGAACTTTGCTGGCACCTTAAGTTTGCCGTCTTCACCCCAAAGCTGCACCCACACTCTCAGGCCAACCTCCAATTCTTGCAGCGACCGAGCATCGAAAAGGAAGTCAATCATTTTCTTGGCGTTGCCAAACATCTTGTCGATCGCTGCTGCTACGATCTGCTCAAAGTTCTCCTCATGGTTCTTGTCAGCAATGTCCTTTTCCATAGCCATGAGCTGCTTCTTCAGGCGTTCAACCAAGGCCTTGCCTTTCTCCACTCGTTTCGTTAGCGTGTTCTGGGTAGCTCCAAGGGCAGCCAACTCAAAATGTGCAGAATTGTCCACGACATCTAGAATAGACACTGCTGCGTCACACAGCTTCTCTGCCATGATCCGCTCCTTGTCCTTCATGATGCTGTGCAACACTTGCTCTTCAAAGCTGCATATTTCTGAGCCTTTGACCATGCTTTCTGCTGCTTGGGTGGCCAGCATTGTGAAAACTTCTGGTGGAATGCTGTCTTTTAGGCTGTTTGCGCTTTCTCCGAAGGCAATTTTCTCAAACTCTTGACGAAACTCAGGATCCTTGTGGAGGCGTTCTCCTTCTGAAAACTGTGCCTGGCGACCAAAGTAGGCCTTTTTGGCTGATATAGGCACAATCTGGTGAGGGTGGATTGGAATGTCCTTGAGCATCTTCCGAATCCGCTGTGACACAAAGTCCTTTATCTTGTCAATATCATCCACTTCTTTCTTCTCATCAATCTTGTTTAGAAGGAACCAGAAACGGGAAGATTGCTTGGAGATCATAGCCTCACAGCTCTCACGGAGCTGGTCAAACATCTGCTGCTCATCAGTCGATCCTATCTTGGTGTAGTCCAAGAGGTAAATGATCACATCCGCAGATTCGATGGCTAACTTCAACTCAACTTTGAGAGCGGCTTGCGCTTCATTGGGTCCAGGCGTATCCATGAGAGTGAAGCTACCTGAAAGCCCCAATGACGCACACGAATCAAATGATAGCACAGGCGCATGCAAAGTCAAACAAGACGAAGATTGCTGCAGGTGTGCTTGAGCCTGCAAGTCGTCATGCTCATCTGCCTTCTCCCACTTGCACTCAGAAGGAGACACTGGCAGGGGCAACAACGAATGGGCCTCAACCTCTTCAATGAGCGAGCCTGAGTCGGTTTCCACTGTGTAACGCCAATCAGAGACACAGGTCACCGTCCCATCATGCCACTGTCCATTATGACACACTTGAACCCTTTCCTGCCACACTGGTGAGTCGTCAGCTGTGAGGAAGCGGAATTGTATACTGCCAAGACTGCTGAACAAGCGCATGTAGTGGCCATCACAGTCTTGCAGCCAATTCTGCCAGAAGCGAACCGCTTGAACCGCAAACTTGTCACCCACACTAATAGGAGAGTCGGCCTTTTCTTCAAAGCCCCAATCTGTGTATGTGGCAACTCCTTTTTGGGATGAAAACCAGCCTGTGGGGTCACCGTGGATACACTCAGCTCGGAGAATACAGGGCGGCGAGCTCGATTTCAAAGCTGAAGTGGCTGGCCAGAAGCAGGTGCCCGCTGGCCAGCACATCATGCGAAACCTTGCTCGCTGCAAATGAACAACCACAACAACAACCACAACAACAACAACAACAACCACAACCACAACGACAACGACAACGACAACGACCACGACAACAACGACGACGACGGCGACGACGACGACGACGACGAGAATAACAGCAGCAGCAAACTGTCAACCTTGACCCCTTTAGACAAAATCACTTAAAATTCCTAAAACATGTCAACCCAGACAAGAAACTGCAACCCACCTGCTTCAAACTGTACAACCACAGACCACAACTTGCTTCTGTATCTTGCAGCATCGGAGCCACGTACCAGAACCGTGTAATCCTTCCCTCTCTTTGGCTTTAATGTCGGTCCTGTGTACAGGAGCCCGAAGTATTGGGTGGCTTTTGTGGGCTTGTGCCACAATGTCAGCACCAATACACATGAGGTTGCGCGATCTGCGACTGCGTGAATTGAAACCGTGCCATGGGATGAACCTTGCAAAATGTACGTGCCCTCTGCTGAAGGAAGCTCCTCCTGCGACTCTTGCACTTGCAAATCTTCAGGGATGGTGGAGATCTGGGCTGCTTGCCGTCGCCGATCATTCTGCGTCTTTAACTCCTGCAAAATATTTGCACGGCCTTCGGCAAGTGTAGTACCCGTCCCATCCAGAAGCAAACCCTGTGTTCTCTCCACATCGTGCTGAATCCTGAGGAGGGCGGCTGTTTGCGGCTCTACAGTCGCCGGGCAAAACTCCTGGCCCAACATCGCATTGAGCAAACTGCTTTTGCCAGCTTTCATTAGAGCCAACACCGCCACGGTGAGGTTCTTGGATTCAGACTTGGCTTGTAGCATCTGAAGGTCCTCCTCCGCAAGACCAAACTTCTGCAATTCTTCCAAGAGTGTCTCGATGTTGGGACTCTCTGAACGTCGCTCGGTGGGTCCGAGTCCTGCCATGTGTCACAGGATTGTGTCTACTCAAAAAGGCACTGTCCGCACACCTATTTATGCAATGGAAAAGTGCATGCCCGCTCTCTCATTTGCTTCCTTCTTCAGGGCGATCTGAGACTTCTGTCTGCATCTCCATCGTTCCTGCATCAACTAACCAGAGTTTTATTCATAAAGGACACCATCGCACCGTGCTTCCCGTCAATCAGTTTCACCAAATAACTATTCCAACCCAGAACACTTCAGCAAACATGTTTGGATGTTTTAGCTGAAACGACTGAATCTGAGGCCTTTGATCCGGGTGCGCTGCCAAGAAGACAATGACTAAATGCACCTCACAACGGCCGAGGTACTAGCACGCTTCTTGTATCGTATCTCGTAGGTCATAGCAAGGGAAGGCATTCTTAAACTACTACGTTTTTGTTCATAGTCACAGGTAGTAAGGTCCAAATTGTTCAAGTTGTTCAATCAAGCTTGAGGTCAAAAAGAAGAGCAAGCTATGTCTTGTTAGGAGCGATACGACAATCTTCTGATTTCGATCCAATGTCAAAGCGTGCTTCCCTGACAAGCTGCCGTTTTTTCAGCGCTGTTGGCCGAAAAACAGAACGGCTGAAGCCAAAAGGCTGGAAGCACATCGTTCTGTCAATATAATCAGCATGCGAAGCCAAACACATACAACCAGAAAGGCGGGTGGGGCAACTCATTTGTCTTGACTTGTTTTGTCTCAAGCTGCAAATGTCATTATTGCTAAAGTTGCAATCTGAATGCTAAAATTGTCTGCAGATAAAAATTGTCACACTGCAATCTGAACACTTGGCAAGGCAAAGTGTATCTCTGATTTGCCAAAAAAAATGATGGTACAAAGGCCAAGATGAATGTGCCAAACTTCATTTGGTGATAGAGCCAAAACAAGGTTACAGAATGTGAGGCGTCCTGTAAAGGACCATCATTCTAAGAAATGCGCGGAACCAAACCCTACAGTTCAATTGATGATGTGCAGGTATTGTCGTCTGCTATCAAACCAAACGTGCAAACCGAGTTGGATGGCATGAGGATGGCTGCGGTCGCCATCACGTCTCAGGAATGAGTGTGAAGCAATCACTCAAAGTAATACAGCTTTGGGCATGAACAAGGCACAAATTCCAAGGCGTGTGAACAACCTACCCAAAGTATTGACTTGGGCCTTAGATGACCCTTCAGTCTCCTGAAACAAACTTATTTCCTTGTTACGTGTCGATTGATGTCCTTCCGAAGTGGTGATTAGATTGTATAGATCATGTTGCAATTGCCAGACTGTCCTCAATTTTGAAGCACTTTTGGTTCCTGAATCGTGAAACAAGAGCAAACCAATTTCAGTCAACATTGCCCTTTTGTTCTTTGCCTGTTGGTTCGAATTGATCTTCCATCGTGTGGCAGCCAACCGGGCTTGAGTCAAATTAGTTTCACTGTTCCTTGCGATGTGCAGGATGCGAATGCCTCTACTTGTCTAGATTACAAGTGTTCAGAGTGCAACTGGGCAAAGGGCTGAGTTGTCACCTGTGATCTGCGCAACTTCATGCGCTGCAACTGATGTTCGTTCTGAGACACTGCTAGCCGCTTGCCTTCCGCACTCAATCTACAATCATGCAACCAAAGCTTGCTACAATCATTTTTTGCGAGATGTTTGTCTGGCTAACTGACCATCGGACTGAGTTTGAAAAAGTCGATGGGTGATCAATGAAGCCCCCCAGAATTGAGTCTCCAAACTAAGGGTAGTCCAGTCCTAATCATGCCGCCCCATACAACAATGTCTACGCATGTTTGCTGGTGTTGTTTTGCAAATCAATTAAATTCCTCCTGACTTGCTTTATCAACACAAAAAGAAACACCGTCTTGACAGCTTGTTTGTCTCTTGTTCAACCTTTTTTTTGCAAAAAATGTCCCATTCCAACGGGGCTGGGTATTGTTTGAGCTGCAGTAGTTTCTAAGCCCCAAAGATGTGTTCGTGGCAACAACAAATAAAAATTCAATAAATTTCCAAAAAAGAAACACACACTTGGGAAATGAACATGGAACTACTCGAAAAGCGGAACCGCGACAAAATGACGGCGTGCGCTCAAGTCTGCACAGTGCATCGACTGACTCGGGTGGTGGTGTGCTGGTGTGGTGACAGAAAAATGCAAAATAAGAAAGAAAAAATTGAAAAAAACAGTGGACAGGATCACAAAAAAAGGCAGGTTGCCGAGTGGGCTGTGCAGGAAAACAACGGTCAAGCCTGAGAGGCCACTCAAAAATTTGAAATGATGCGCACTGTGCATGAAAAGAAAACTGCTCGAAATTGAGGACACGTCACATGAACAAGCCACTCAGGCACATGAGCACAAAACGAGAAGTGTACCAAACGCCAACTGGAGGATCGAGTGCAAAACAAGCTTGCGCGTCGCATGGAAGCGGAGCGTGGCCGTAATAGCCCGCTGCCCATGGCATTGCACCACGACCCGCCATTTGACTTCGCGGAAGGTGACCTCGAAAGGGCACAATCTATCTCCTTTTGGCTCGCAGAACTTGGCTGTCTTGGTGGGAGGTGCAGGTTGGCACGTGCCATTGCATCCTGGGCGGTTTGTCATCTTCATTTCCACCACAGCCAGCAAAGAGCTCCTCTCATCTCCTCAGGAATCAGGTCTGAGCCAACTTCTTCATGTGCGCCAATGGCCTGCATGCCAGCTCCATTTCTTTCCCTTCCTCAGAAGCAATGAGGCTCGAACTAACACTGCTTCTGGCCTTTTCGACACAAGAGCATCTTCAATTGCTGGATGAGCAGGCAAGCAACGAGGGACGCCGCTGACTGCGTGTGGCCAAGTGCATATTTGTGCTTCACTTGTGTCCAGTGTCTTTTCGTCCTCTTTTCTTGCACAACGTGTGGGACTCCCGTTTCTTTTGTCTCCCTTCTTGTCTCCCTTCTTGTTGGCCATTGTGTCCGTCTTGTGTCTCTTCCTTTTCTTTTGTCTTCCTTCTTGTCTTCACAAAGCCCTGCAGTCTCATTCTGAAGCTGTCGTCGACATGCAGTGATGTACATTTTTCTTCATCATCAGTGGGCTGCTTTTGTCCCTATTGCTCTGCTCCACTTTTTCTCGGTTTGACTTCTCCATGTTGAGCATCCTCCCCACCCGCGCCCCAGCTTGTCCAAGACTCCAGGCACTCGGACTGCGCCTCACGAATCTGCTCCACTTCGCCTGCTATCGTCTGCCCACCAAATCTGCAATCCAGGCTCACCAAGTGCCACGTCTGCCACGACCATTGCCCAGCGGGTGCCCACGCGCCACAGCTCGTGGATCTGTGTGAAAACACGGAAGCGCAAGCGTCCCCTTTTTAGATCCCGCTCCTTGAGCCAAACATCACAGTCGGTTTGACTGTACTTGAGAGAGGAGGGGGGTGAACGAAAGGTAGCAGGGAATCAGGCGTAATCCGGGAGGAGGTGAGAGGCCCCCCACTTGTTTGAAGAGAAGTGAGTGAGCGTGATGAAAGAACAACTAATGCACAAACGCTTGACAAAACCTCCAGAAGCTGTAGCGGTCTAGCGGTTTCAATACAGGTTGACGTGCCTTCAAAAGGAGTCACATATTCCTCAAATGCAACTTCGGATTTACATAGTGACGTGCGGCGACCCTTTAAATTGCGTGGCCGCAGGCCATGCTTGCAAACAGGACGTGCTCAAAAACACTGGTATTTACGAGGTTTCGTTGCCGTCGATCCACAGCCGCGGCAAGGTCTAAGGCCACGCTTGAAGACAGGAGGAGCTGAAAACACTGGTATTTACAGTATTTTGTAGCCGTCGATCCAAAGGCGCACCACGGTTGAGCGCTGGAAAAGCGCAGAAAACCGTGTAAATACCGGCGTTTTCTGCCGGGAAGGTGCACAAAACCCTGTAAATACCATAGTTTTGTGCAATTTTGAAGCCTCCAAAAACCTCAAAAACCCTTTCTGACAAAATCTTTCCTGGCTTTTGGTCTTTTTTTAGTCATTTTTCTAACCGAGGCGCATCAAAAACCATCGGTTTTTGCGGTGTTTTTTGCCGGACAGCCACAAAAAACGCTGTAAATTCCATGATTTTTGGTCACTGCTGAGGACTGGAAGAGCTGAAAACACTGATATTTACAGTGTTTTCGAACGGTTGACCCCGAGGCGCGCTAGGGTGGAGTTGAAAGGGGGGGGGGGGGGGGCCCCCCCCCCGAGGCATGGAAAAATAGGTACAATGAGTCGTGGGAGCTCTCAAGACAACATTTGCTTTGGTTCTAAGTGCAACATCCAGCACCCGCCCATTTTTCCTGTCAGCAAAAGAGCACAATAATACTTCGCAGACGTTAAATAGCAAGGCTGTTGCTCCAGTTCCATAACTGGACTTGAAACTGGAGAACCAGATGCGGAGCGCGATGCCAAGAAACTATCCAGCAAATCATAGAGATTAGGTTCCCTCTATACCAGGCAAGCAAGCAGGTAGGGCCGGGAGAAAGCAACATATTGATCGCTGAGAGTACATACTAATTGCTTGTGTATTGAGCGCGCAGAGTGTAGAAGGGTTAAGTCTAATCCAGCGTGCCAATGTCCAAAGATAGTGTTGTTTGTGTTTGCACAAGCACAGCAAGCAGTGTTTACGCAATTCTTTTTCACCTGTCACATCGAGTTTCTTTTGCGCACCCCGCTCCTTAGGAGACCGGGTTTGCGCTCCAAAGTAAATGGCGTGCGCTTCGCACGCGCCTTCGGCCTTGGAGCTGCTGCTGGACGCTTTTTAGCTGCTTCTGCCACCAGCTCCTTCTCTGTTTTTCTGCGAGCTTTCAATGGCAAGGTTGATGCTTGTTGCGCCATGTCCGACTGCCAGGTTTTGGCTGACCATAGAGGATTTCCAACTCGCTGTGAGAGGACATGAGAGCTTGGCATCTGCTTTGCTGTGGGGCTGTGCAAAGCAATGTTGTGGGCCAATAGTTTGCCCAGCTGCTGGATTTGCAGCTTTTGCACCAATGTGCTGCGGTGCATCTGCTGAGTCTGTCGATACCATGAGTTGATTTCTGCATGGAGTGCTTCGTTGGCAGTAGTGCCTGAAGGCAGCAGCAGACGAACTCGATGTGGTAAGAATTGCCTGTACCTCAAGTTGTTGAAGAGCCACTCCAGCTGCTCTGCACTTGTGACATTGTGTAGGAGCTTCGCCAGCGTAGTTTTAGTCCCTTCGATCTTCCGGCCCATGTCGGTTCTGTGAAGACAGGAAAGTGCAGCCAGTGCCTCCACAAACTGAATCCGTGTAGGCCAGACCTTCAATTCTTCACAAGAAGCCAGTATCCGCTTGGAACGGACAACTGCCAAGGAGCTGTCCAGAATGTGTTGTCGCAACATTTGCTCCTCACGAGATAGGGCCACGCAAGCTTGTCCTTCAAAGAATGGTCCCCAAATGTTTTGGGTCACTGCTTCGTCGTGGTTGGTGAACTTCACCATGAATGACCGAAGTAGGCTCGAACCTGCAGACTTTCTTCCTCCCAGCCCCTGCTCATAGTGCATAGCCGTATGTGTTGGGTCTAAAGACAAGGCCTTGAGGTTTGCGCAGATCGATTTGAGCTCAGAAAAAAGCTTCGGTGAAGGATTGTCGCTTGCAATATGTTTCACTTGCAAAAGTCCAGGCGCTGAAATGCTTTTTTGAAGACACGCTTTGATGTGGTCTGCGCCTTCTCCACAAGATGGCTCCAGGCAAAGCACTGCACCGCTTCTTCCCCGCACTGAGAGAACACGGGTGTAGCTGTCACTTGCCGGAAAAGGATGCTGGTCGCGTAAGGCTCTTGGGTCTGAAAACCGACCCTGCCCCATCAATGGCAAGCATACCTTGAATGTTCCATCAATGGACAGGTACGAGCACTCCTCATGCGCAACAGCTTGGTCCAGGAGATGATGACGGAGTTTTTCGCAAGCTGCTGATGCGAATACGTCCTCAACCACAGGCCACCAACACGCAGTGTGGGTGGGCAGCATTGACGCCAGGCTGTTGCCAGCTTTTGCTGAGTCAAGCAAAAAAACGAGGTACCAAGGCAGACACCTGAGGGGTGCTTAGAGCAGTCACTACAAGGGTTTTTCACCTTCATAGCACATGCTGTGCGACCATTGAACCTTTTTCATCTCCCCGCGCCTTGGCATGGTTCAAGAGCATTTCTTGGAAGATCCGCTCAGCGAAGGAATGTGTGTAGTACATATTGCCAACTCGACGCGCGCTGCGAAGCGCTTGCCGATGCACTACCCTTGGACCTGACGCATCCAATAGAAACCGAATTTCCTTGTCGACGGCGTTGTTCTGCGGCGAAAGCATTGGCTTGATAGATCTTCTTAGCAGCGTGGCGCTTCGCTTCAGGTAGTTCCCTTGCCTTTTTTCAGCAATCATGTCTGAGTCATGGAGAGCAAGAATGATTTTGATCTGCTTTGTGCCGGAACAACAGAACTGACGCTTTGCTGTATGATACCGAGAAAGATGGACAGCCAGACGCTTGCAGCGGTCGAACTTCCGGAAGGGGCACGCAGGGCATTGAAAAGCACCGCGTTCGGCTCGGAATTGTCCAGCCTTGGCAGCTTCCATAAACTTTTGCGCCTCCGTTTGCAAATCACTCAACAACACCTGGTCGGTGATCACACGTCCAGTGTCATCTAGCCAATAAAAGCTTCCCTTCTTTTCGGACACCTCTGGCAGTAATGCTGTGTCCTGAGCATCGTCTGTAGTGCATTCTTCATTTGATTCAGAACTCCCTGCTGCTAAGTCCAGGAGGTTCTCAAAATCGGACATACCCACATCTGTATCCTTTTTGCCGTCCTGAAGTTTGAAAATAACACACGTGGCAGCATCCACACCACCTAACAACGCTGTCTCGAAGTCAGCTACTGCTAAGTGGAAGACACCATCTGTGTCAAAAACAATCAGCTTGTCTTCCTCGTCCTGCTTCACAGCAACGCAATGTGGGCTGCCACCATTTTCGGAATGTAAGAGGAAGTTTCCTCGAAAATCAAAAGACTGAGTGCACAAGACGGGCGAGAAGGAACAGTGGAACATATTGGAACATTGCAGATATGTGCGACATCCACGCTGTTGCATATATGCATTGTCTGGGCATGCTTCTGTCAACAGTGACACCTTCTCTTCCGTAATGGCACCCAAACTGGCCAAAGCGTGGGGAATACAATTCCCTGGCACACAGTAGACATGATCTGTGGGAAAGGGAGCCCTCTTCGCACACGCAGCAGCTTTCTTGATCAAGGCATTCACAGTCTCATGTCTCTTCTCTCGGATTGTGACCTTGAAGCCAGTCTTGTCCAGAATGTAGGATGCACTTTGCTTGCAAACTTCTTCAATGGAGATCCCCTGCAGAGGTGATATGCGGACACCATCAAAGTGTAGTGACAAGTGGGTGGGTGAAAAGGTCAAAAGATGATCGCACCAGTGAGACAGAACGTAGTCTTCAGCGGCCATGTAGAGATAAGCTAGAACAGAGCTGTCAGGGTTTTTCTTTGTAGTGTCCTCCACGAAGGATGCAAACTCCTCAGGTAAGCTGGAAGCAGCAGCCCATTTGCAATACATAGATGCTCGCTGCAAAGATTGCACAAAGTCATGTCGCACCAATTTGCCCGATACATGTCCGCCGTACAGAATAGATACCAGCAGCTCTTTGCCCACGTGCAGGGGCAATTGCAAGACATCTGCGCAAACTTTAGTCCTTTGTGACCTGCACTGGGCAAAGGCTGCTAGTGCATCCGGTGGCATTGGTGGATCCAATTTCAATTTCTCCAGCAGTTGGAGAAGCAAAGTGGAAAGACAATTCTCGATGTCCAGGTCATGTGTCTGATCCAAAAGCATCACCTGCGCTCTTCTGCTGAGTTTTTGAGCTCCGATACCTACCACTTGTTTGCGAGTTCGGATAGTGCAAGGGCCAGGGTATTGGTAGTTCACCTTGCGGATGAGAATGTGATCTTCAGAATTTTCTGTCTTGACTTCAGGCTTTTTCTGCGAGAACCTGCGTTTCTTCTGGATTGGCTCTGTTAGTGCCTCTAGCAACTCCTCTCCGTGAGTCTCACCACTCCGCAATTTGCGACTGCGAGCTTGCATGTCTTCCTTCTGCTTGACCTCCTCTGGTGAAGGTCTGCCTGCTCTAGGTCTTCTGCTTTCTGAAGAAGCTTGAAGGACATCTGCCAAAATCTTTGAATTAGCTGCTCTGTGAGGATGCTGGGTGAGGTAGTTGCTGAACTTGTCGATGTTATACATTTCAGACAACTCAAGCTCACAAATCCGATCCTGGTGATGCAAAATGTCACACAAAGAGACCTCAGCAGTCAAGACAGGAATGTAGCGGGTGTCCGCCTTCTTTGATCCAGGCAACCTCTGCAAGTACTTCATGTTCAGCAGTCCGTCAAGCAAGCCTTCTCTCGAAACATTTGGGCCACCCTTGGCTTTCAAGCTTGTCAACAAGGCTTCCGGGAAGAAAATTTTCTTTTTGCTGAAAGCCACATCCATGACAGCTTCTCGTGCAGCGCACCATTGAGCTTTTTGTTCCTTTTCTTCATCATCCTCTACTTCATCTAGGTGGATGACTGCAGAAAACTTTGTGTTGGCGGCACGGATATCTCTGGGCGGGAGCCTGCACGCTTCCCTCATTGTTTGCTCTGTCAAGCCACCATCTCCACCCCAAGTGACATAGTTCTCGATCATGTCAATGCAAGCTTGCTTGCTGTACTCTGCCTCGAATGCATGCTGAATTTGTAGCGCTGCAGCGACAGCAGCCGAAGATGTGAGGAAGCTCGCTAAATCTGGGTCTTTCGGAAAGACACCGTCCTTGTGGATATCTGCATATGCGGACGCGATAACCTGTGGATCTTCAAACCTTGCTCTGGCTCTCCAAACCAGCGCTCTTCTCAAAATTGCGTTAAAATTTCTCTTGCCCACATCTTCAAAAGTGAACATACGATTTGCCTCTAGGCGTTTCCAGCCCACACAGTGAATCATCTTGGTGCTGAACCCATAGGGCTTTCGTCCTGCGATGCCGTCGCCACTGACGAATTTCTTGAATAGGTCTTCTCTCAGCTTGCCTTGGGTGTACAAAGTAACGGTTTCAGTTAAGCAAACGATGGCCACATCAAACAGAAGAACTAGAACAAGTAGATTACAAACCCACACTCTAGCCCAGGCGCGACCAGTGCCAGACGGACTCTCCTGCCCAGTCAGAATGCAACGTCCATTCAATTGTTCCACTTGCTTCCTCATTTCATCTTCGTGGAACCAAACGCCAGGATCAAAGAAAGCAAAATTGTGAGCATACATTGCTTGAAGATGAGTGGAGTAGAGAGATTGTCCAACCCCACCACTAGATAGTCCAATAAAGAGCCGAACAACGTTGAGACCTCGTTTGGCCAAGGCTTGCGCTGCCTGTCCACATTTGAAGGCTTCAATATTCCCCCAGAACGTCTGTGAATAGAACTTGCGAAGCCTTTCCACAATGTCGGCAGGCACTGTTTGCTTGATGGAATGAGGGATTCTCAAATAGCAGTTTACAAGCTGCTCACGCTGAATTTGTCGAGCAGGTAGGAGCTCATCATCGTATTTCACCGCGCAGTCTTCGTAGCAACACGAAGCTTCCACTTCCTTGGGTGTGTCACACCATTCCGACATAAAATGTAGGAGCTTATCTTGGCACAGCTCATATGACAACTGCTTTTTCACTGCCATGATGGTTTTCGCAGTGGCTGCATTCCATGGTCCTTGTGGACCTTGTTGCCCCGGACCCTCTTGCTCTTCATCTGCATGTTCTTCTCTATTCTTTTCTTTGCGCTGCTGCCCTTCAAAAGTTAAGCAAGCATTCACGCACGCAGCCAAGAATTGATTCTCCTGGTTGTCATAGTCAAGGAGAATGTTTTTCATTGCGCCTAGCAGTCCTGCAGTAGTCCGGTGTGTTCGCACGGGCATTTTCCGAAAAATGCCCTCCACATGCAGAAGAAAAGTTTGCACGCGATCATGGTCAGGGGGTATGCCCCTGTGCTGTTGGAATGCACCACTTGGGGTTTTCATGTAGCAGTCGCCTGTGTGGAAACGCAGGGTGGAGTGGCCTTCGGCGACCCAGTACAGCAACGCGTGCTCTCGCAGAAAGATGTCTGCTTGTCTGGCCCGCCCAAATGCCAAGACACCCACCCCGAGGCGAATGAAGTAGTCAGAGCCATCCGCAAATGTCTTGCGCACACAATCTTGCCATAGCCGAACCTTGTGCAAGATGGTGTCTGACGTATCGATCTCCTCTGCAGGTTCTTGCTGGAAGCAGTCGTTCATTTTTGCCAAGGAGTTGAACAGGTGCGCGAAATCTACATCTGACGTGTTGGCTCCCCTCATGTGACGTCTTTGCTTCAGCCTCTCAAAAGTAGCATCTTCTAGAGGAATGTCGTCAGCTTCTTTGTCCTCTTCCTTGACAATTCTCATGGCACTGTCTTCTACTCTCTGGCTTGGACCTGCTTTCGATTTCGCAGCAGTGCGTGGACCGCTTCGCTGGCTGGCCACGTCTACTGAGTCATCAGCGCAACCAATTGCAGGCATGCCGCTCTCTCCTTAAGGTATGAAGCAGACAAAACAATAACTGCAAAGAAACACCTTTCAAGAATAGCTTAACCTTTTTTAACAACTGAAAGAAAATGAGACACAGAGTTCTTGAAGACGAGCATCCATCTGAATCGAACTGGCCACCGCCAAGTGCATCATACCCTCCTTGCATACAGGGTTTTTTATTCTTATTCTTTTTCGAGGTGAGCGGCGCATTTGGAACAACTGCCAGCATTGTCAAATAGCGGGATTGAGGTGTAGATGATGCGAGTGGCAAGATATGACTTCCTGGGACTGGTACAGACAGCACGTGCAAGCACATCCAAGCAGCCATCAACCTCTTCAGCCTGTCACGTCTGCTGACAGAAGCCTTTTGAGTTGAAACCAGCTCTAGCAGTCCAAAGTTCCTCTCAATTTCTGGACTGTAGTACGCCATCAGGGCAAGCTCTAACTGTTGTGACTGACCGTTGTGAATCATGGACAGGAAACAACCATATGCCCTCATCTGAACAATCCAATTCGCACGTGGCTGCTGCAGATCAAAAGGAACTGGTAGAATCCAAAAGTGATGTGGAAACTTTGCAAGTGTAGGAAACGAAGGCTCTACTTCCGTACGGAATTGCTTCAGCTGAGCCCAAATCCTGGCTTGCATTTCTGGATCAAAAGGTGAAGGCCTTGGAAAGACATGCTTCTGTTGTAATGTCCACTGTGCAGGACTGCTCCCCCCAAGGCGATCTGTTTGCGATGCTCTCAAAAGAAGACCAGCTTCAGCGCGCATGCGGGGAACATCGTCCACGAACGGGCGCATGCCATTATCGGGGTGACAGCCAACCACAAACATTGCACCCACAGTCTCATTGTAGTATTTCTCGATGATGGAGGCATATAGATTGAGCTGTAGTCTGTAGTGCCATAGTGTTGCATCGGGCACATGAGCCAATGGAGGCAGCATTGACTTGCCAAAGGAGTTGGATTTGAACTGAAGATTCTTTGTTCGCTTCCAGTCGAACAGATACAGAGCGTTGTCCTCACACAGACAGGCAAAACAAAAACAATGTCAACACTGTCTGCACTTGGACGTGCGCAAGGAATAACACAAAAGATGTAAAGAAGTGAGAAAAGTAAAACGAAACTGTGTCTGAACTGCAAAGGGTTGGCTGAAAGCATCACCCAAGGGACCGGCATTCTAGCTGCCAAGTCGATGGAGCCAGCAAGGTCCTCCTCGCTTGCGTAGATCGTCCACTCTGTCCGAAAGATCTTTGCGCCAGCAGAAAGCAAAGTCCGAGCAAATTTCCAAAACAGAACATGCTCCATGTCTTCACGATCTTCTGTCTCTATGTAGCCACCATTGAGCAAGCACTCAAAGCTGGCGTGCATCCAGGTGCCCTGTGATGATGCAATCTCAGCAGTTTGTTTCCACTGCTCTTTAATTTCTTCGTCGCTCATTGCAAGAGACAAAAGCAAGTTACTGTCTTCAGGGTGGTGAACCATCAGCTTCTGAATCGCTTGGCACAACTTTGTTTGGCATCTGCCAGGTCCATCCAGGAGATCTAGAAACAAATGCGCGTAAGGAAGTTTGCTGAGGTCAAGTATAAGTTTCTGGGATACGGAGCCCCTCATGTACTGTGGCCGTGGCCAGTTGTTGGACCGTCTCATTGCTTCAATTGCTTTGTCTGCGCAAAAGTCATGACTGAAGCGATGTATGAGCCCAGTGCACGAAATGTGAACCTTCGATCCGTCCCAGAAATAGGTGTGAGTTGCTGCGTCGAAAGTCAATCGTTCATCTCTGGGGTGCCTGTGTAACTGGCTCAGATGATCCAGTGGAACCGGCACACTGGAAGGCCAGACGTTTGGCTTCAAAGGCATTAAGCTTCTGTTGACAGATCCTCGGATCAGAATTTGGGGAAGAAGTTGTTCTAGATCAGTACCGACCAATGTCTTGAACTTCAGAGACTGTTGCTGCATTCCAACAGTTTGGCACACAAACACCCCCTGCTTTCGCAGAGATGTCAATCTCAGAGCAACTTGACGATTGTGCCGAATGTTTGTTGAGCGGAATTGCGCTTCTTCTTCATCCTCTTCGACGCACTTTCGTTTCATGCCAGAGTGGTTAGAGATAGAGCCACCGCACTCATCTTTTCCTCTGCTGTTGTGGCACACATCTTCTTGGGAAGCAATGTAATAGGCAGCATCGACCTCTTCCACATCGATAATCCACACGCCCTTCTCATCTTGACAGTAGGGATGTCCACGCTGAAGGCCACGGTACAGATCAGCTTTTTCCCAGGTATGTGTATACCGTTCAAAATTGATTTCCCATTGCCCATCCAAGAATCGCAAAGCCACAAAGTGCTGGTCTTGGAAGAGAATGCACTTAGCATTCTTGGCCTCGTGGGTGAGTGACTGGGGGTCGATGTACACCACTTTCTTCCTGAAAGATGCATGGGTCATAGCATTGAGTTTCTGTGTTGACACGCAGCAGAAAAAGATGTGACATCATGTTGAACTGAGTTAAGGGCGACCACTTGTTCAGGAAGCGGTTCCCGTCTGTTACTGCGAAAAATGGTCCATGTTCTTCGTACGGAACTTTCCATCCATGGCATCGGAGAACATCAACAAGGCATACGTGATGGAATTGTTTTGTCCTCAGGCAAGGGAGAAGAACGCTAGCATAGTTCAGTGACTATTCACAGATCTCATCAGCCGAGACACTCAAAGCGAGAGATGGTTGTCTTCGGACGGATTTCTGAAGTGGGGCGCAAAAAGCCCGAAGAGCCTCACAGCAATGAAGGTATACAAATGTAGGTTTAGAAATAGAGACCATGCGGACTCTATGTTGACCTCACACCAATGCAAGAGAGAGACTTGAATTCTCAATCATACTTCTGGCTTCTTCTCTGGCAATCGCAACGTATTGCTCCAGAATCTCGCTTTCTTCTTCATCCCTTCTGGCTTCCATCCAGCGCATTTTGCTGGCCCGCCACCGTCTAATGCTTTCTTCACGCCAACGACGTCTTTGCCTCTTGGATAAGCCTCAGTCTTCTATGAGTGTGTTCTAGTAAAGAGATGTCTGCTGCAATCAAGTGGCAAAAACCCAATCCAGCGTCCTTCTCTTCCATCAGTCGGGCCACGATGGCATCAACAAAGTACCCACCTAAGCACAGTGATCCGTGTGTTTTTCTGTAACGCCGCAATGCCTTAGCTAAATAGAGCTTCTCATCAGATGATACATGGGTAGTTGTCCAATATATCTCTATGCCAAGCAGGACACACCACAGATCATTGAGCGGAATCACATCTCCCACCATGTCACACCATTCATCTAAGCCTTTGCAACGTCTGGGCGCCGCTTCAAAAAGGACGTTGCTGCACTATATTCTAAATTCCGGCCTGTCTTGTGGTCTTCTGCCACCTCCTTCCTTAGCTCTCCATCATCACCAGACAGACACACAGCGCCAGTCATAAAGACAGGTCTGAGGCCACATGCGGGGTACTGTAGTTCTTCACTTGGGTTTGCTCCTAACACGCGTAATGATAAGACTAATCCGCAATCAGGAAAAAGAATCCGTCCTGCCTCTGGCCACGAGGCTGCTAGTAGTCTCGGAGCAGGTCCCCTGGAATCATTGTCTGTTCGCGCTTTCGTGCTTCGTTTCATACCAATACTTACCCAGCCTGAACCGACGATACCATCGCTTGCGTGGGAGCTGCTTCCAGTTCGGAGTGTATTCCGCTGAAGGAAGATCAGCCGTGCTGCGAATCCGGCCAGTAATCTTCCAAACCAATGCATCGCCTAGGTCGAATTGCTCAGTTGCTTCAATGTTTTGTACTAACAGTGTGAACCCAATGACATGCACCATTGGATGCAAGCGAGCCACACCAGGAGGAGTCCAACCACAGCTTATCACATTCTTTTTGTTTCACCACTTTGCATTGGCTTTGTCGAACATGCTTCACTCCAAAGCCGCAATTCATCCCTTGCAGTGATCACTCAAGTGCTTGATCCCGGATACTCAAGTTTCTACTTCTTGAATAAAACAGGTAAGGCTTAATATGGCGAGAAACAGCGCCACCAATCTGCGCAAGTTCGTCCACATACGTGAGTCAACCGGTTGACAATCTCCTTCATGAAGTAGTCGCCTTGCAGATAACTCGCACACATGACTCTTGTTGAAAAATGTATTGTAAATGCAATTTTCATACTGTAGTTCAAGTGGCAATGAATGCGAGAGCTTTGGTCTGCAGCACTACACAAGCGGTGAAGAATTGGCACAATGAAAGTGTCACCTTAGCATCGGAATGTATACATTGTTTATCATTGCGTTATTCGTCATTGCCAAGCTCATCCTATGTGCGACCCACTGACACCAGGAGCCATTCAAGTTTTCCAGGTCTCCTCGCGCCCAGAAGGAGTGAAGAGCTCCTGCAAAGAAATCGAATGAGGGTCAAACGAACAAGGGTCAAATAGAATGATTCGGAGATGGCTAGGCCTGAGTGAGGTTCATCGCTGACAAGATCTGTGACAGGGCCTAACAGATTGCAGTGAGACGGCGCGGGTGTCTTATCGAGAGCAGGCAAAGTAACGATAATACAGTACCGCAACCATCCCTAGGCCTGACAGCACTTCAAAATCGCCAGACCGCTTACGACCTCGAAGCACATGAGAGTTGGCAGAACTTCTGAACTTTTATCTACTTATCTTCACTGAGCAGGAGACACTGCCAGTCCCACAGCAAGAGCAAAGCTCTGCCGACGTTCCCTGTGTCGTCTTGCTTTGGTCCGATAGGATCAAAGATCAAGGGCATACCTCGTTCGCAAGATACGTACAGAAGCTCTGATCATGCATGTTTCTCCAAGTTGCCGTAAAGATTTCGGAAAATCTGCTGCTGCGTCAACTGCTCCAATTTGTGAGTGTACTCTTGAGCCAGAATCTATGGAACAAGCATGGATTGTTGCAAGCAATGCAAGGTGTTGGTACCTCTGTGGACAGGTTGCAAGCAGAGTACGCTGAGGGTCAGGCCCAGAATCATATTCTCGTAGGTGCGTAGTCCTGAGATACAGGATGGAGCAAAGACCCTTTGCGCACTATCATGTCTGGAAGGTTGCTCTTGCGCGTATACTCCTCAATGCTCAGCTACCACAGCCTTACAACATGTTTCCTAGCTCCGTGTTAAGCTGTGCAGTGACTTCCTGCACCGCAAGTCAAGCTCTACACGCCATGCTCAACAGATGCAAAACGCACAGTTTCTGCGATACTCCATCTTCCACCGCGTGTATTCAGTGTTGCGACCACCACAGCGTTGGATTCCTAGCCGTACATATTCAGCTACGTCATGCCTTTTCACACGTCACAGAGTACATGTTCTGCAGATTTCGTGGCAGGCGCAGCACTTTGGACATGGTTGGTGGTCTTCGAGGCGCTCTGATTTCGTGACGGGTGCAGTGAACCGTAGCTTTGTTTCGTGGCAGGCGAAGCACTCTGTGAACCTCAAAGTGTACATTTCGTGGCAAGTGCAACACTTTGTATTGGTCAAGATTTCGCAGCAGGTGCAATTATGTTGTGTTTACCATTGTTTACCAGAGGTTTGGAAATAAACAAAACTCTAACTATTTTAAATAGTTTAGTTATTTTGGGTTTACCGGAGGTTTGGAAATAATTAAGAATTGAATTATTTTTCTTTATTTTAGGTTTCCCGGAGGTTTTGAAATATTTAAATTTCTAATTATGTTAATTCTTTTAATTACTAATCTTAATTCTTTTAACTACTAATTTCTAATGGTTTTAAATAATTTAACTATTTTGAATAGTTTTACTTATGTTGGGTTTCCCGGAGGTTCGGGAACAATTAAATTTTTAGCTATTTTAAGTATTTGAGTTATTTTGAACTATTCTATTTA